ATGCAAGATATAGTGACTAAGATGAATAAACGTCTATTTCACTTCAATGATGCTTCCTCAACTAGTAAACGCATTTCTGAGATAGAACAACTTACTAACGCCCACGTGCGAGACACACCATTGTCAAGTGGTACACTGAGGAGTTGAGTAAAGGCTTCATCTCGATTGATAATTGCATAATTCATATACAAAAGACTTTTCCATTCAGGAACAGCATCCTGAACGATCTTGCTCAAAATCGTCGTCCATTCCTCTTCGACAAATTTCTCCAGACGAATTTCTTCTGTAATAGGTGTACAAGGAATCATCCTATGTTGTGTTTATTTTATTGTTAATACTTGATAAAGTAAGGATAGAATAAACTTACTGAATACCATGAATGAATTCTGGTTTAGCTCCAAACCATGTTGTATATTCAGCCTTGTTCTCGAAGAAAATACCGGTGACTTTGTTGCCGATAATCTTTTCTGGCATAACTTTGTTATTGCTATCCATAAGAAAGTAGGTTTGAGTGGTTCGTTTTGCAGTCCCTAGCATCAATCGACCGAGACCTTCAAGGGTCAATGACTGAGTCGCTAATCCCCACAAAGCAATGCCATAGTGAAAGTTGATTTCTTCTGATGTCGATTCTTGATCCTTGCCGTCCGCCGATTCGAATAAACCCTATGAATTCAAGAACAATATTAGAAAAGAGAGATGTTTTGCTTTGTACCTGACTCCAACTATGACCCGAAAACCAATCGAAGTAACGAAATTGAGGAAAACTGGTATCTAATGGTGAGGGATTGCTTGCATCACGAATCAATCCTTCCACCCAATCGCGTATTCTCGGCAAATAACTTGGATCGAGGCGAGCAATAATGGCGCCAGCTTGAATGAAATAACCCCAGTGGTAATGATGATCATTGTAGTATGAATTACCAAAATCAGCCAATTCTTGAGACGGTCTATCCGTAACAATTTTCGATGAGAATTTCTACGTGCAAAACAAACTTACCCTAAGCCGGCCGAAGAGACTAGTCCGAACCATGTTGTATCGTAGCGGAGTGCATTAGTATTTTTCCTCGTAATGAGTATTTCAAAACCTGCTTCAACTGTCTTAATACATTGATCCAATTCAACTGTTTCTCGATAGTATTCAGCCAACAAGCAGAGTAAGGCATATTTGTGGAACTCTTTGCCAGTAAAGTAATAATCTGATACTGTCAAATTTGCTCTAATTGCAAGATCCTTTTTCAATTGTGCTACGATCAAATCTTTATATTGAGGCGCTGGTGAACGTGGTGCAAGAAAATCCATATTAGAGAGAGAGTTTTCTGTTAGTATCCATGTGTTTGCCAGATAGCCTATCATGAGACCTTTACTAGGTGACATGGCTTGAACATTAGTCATTTGGAAACCAATCGATGAAAGAATTTGTCGATGATGAGGAAATGTATAGTGAAGTAGAGTCTTGCTCAGATTACCTTTCAATCGCCAATGGAACATGTACGAGCCTTGAGATCCTGTGACATTGGCCTGTAATTGGCAACCAACAGGATACACTCCAATTTGTGCATCGAGCACAGCATTCGCCGAAGCCTCAGCCTGTTTTTTAGTCAGGCGCAGGACGTTTGTCACAGGTCCAATGCCTACCAATTGGTTTGCACTAAACTTCAAAGTGATATCACCTTCAAGAGCATACAATAGCCATGTTTGATCGTTGTTGAGCACTATTTCGAAACGCGTCCCTGTCATATTACCAGAGCTTCGGCCATTGACTGAGAGAATAGAATGTATAGTGGAAATATGAGGTGTTGCAGAATCGAATTCAAATGTCGTATAGACCATGCCACGAATCAACGGCATAGTAATGGTTGCCGATGAGTTATGTTGATGCATCTTGATTGTACAAGCAAAACCTGGTTCATCAACCTCAGTGACTTTGAAACTTTGGGCAGCGAATTCTAAGGCACTTATTTGAATATTTTTCACAATGCGGTTAATAAAATATTTCACTCGAGTACTATCAATTGGAGGACCATATGACCATTGTTCAGTGAACGAAATCGAAACACCATATGGTGAATCCTTGTTCATCAAAATAACATATGGATGAGTCAGGAGTGGCTTGTCTCCATCAGAACCCAATATAGCATTAATGTAGAATTTATTCGTATGCAGAGGCAATTGCTTAGTTAAATTCAATCGTTGCGGTTGGCGAGGATGAATAACATGTGGATAAAGCGTGGGATTAGGAGCATTTCTTGACAATGGTACCAATACATTGATACAAGCTACCTTGCTGAATACTATTGCAAGAACCAGTAAACCCAATAGATTCATTTCATTCACAAAAACTATACTCACAATACGCTTTACTGTTATGGATTGCTTCTAAAGATAGAGAAAAAAGGGTTTAATAAGTGTCATTTGATACGAATTAGCAATTAACATGAAGAAATCCGATCTGTTTATCATCTTGTCCAACTAATCCTCAAAGAAAATCATTCAATAAAAGCTTAATCCAGGTATCAAATTAGTAAAAGCATTAGCAAGACTGTCACCAGGTGAGTAGTATTGAATGATGTTGAATGGAAAGGATCGATTACAGATGCGTCCCATCTGAAAATTGAAGCAAATATGCTGATTTGATATCAGTTTGAATTTGAGCTAGAATCAATATAAAGCACCCATTTCAAATATCCGAGAGCTGTTTCGAAACGTATTCATCTATTTGTCGTAGACTGATATAGTGCAAATCATTAAAAATTCTATTTTCTTCATTATATTTATTCATGAGTTTTTTTTTCTCATTGGATTGATAAATAATTGTCGTTATGATTGACCATGATGCATCACGAGATAATTCATTATCCTCTCTTATACCATATGGAAAATCATGACATAGAAAATGCTGTTCACCAGAACATGTAATCTTCAACATTTAGTTACTTTTCTGATAGAGCGATACGGCAATCAGTACTTTTGATTAAAATATCATTAGCATGATTTTTGTTCTTTCTTATTATTTTTCCATATCACTTCATCGTATAGTTGTGAGATTAAATATTTAAAAGAAGAAAACAATTTCCACGGTGTATTGAAAGCTTCAAAGAAAGCTCGACTATGTAATATTATCACCACAATAATTTATTGTAAAAACGCGTCACTAGGTTAATATTTTTTCATCTATTCCACTTTTTTTAATATAGAATGAGTTTATTAAAAAATCGTCAGAGAGTACTTAGTAAATAATTTATTCCATCGTGGGTTATATTGATTATTATTCGTAGAGATTCCTTTCCGCTGGTCACTATGAGCTTTTTTTAATGTGTTTTGTAACGTTTTAAAAATTCTGAAAGAGACTATTTTTCTTTTTCAATATTCGATCAAATTTTCTGATACTTTGCAGTGATAAATAGATTTAAATATTACGCAAGTAAAAATATGTAATCCCCCCAAGAAAAGTGCATGCAAACATTGAAACGAGTTGTAAGGTAAAAATTTTCGATTGAATTGGAACGAACAAAATGCAATCTTTCGCTTCATCGCACATCTATCAATGTTGAACTCATGAATGGAAACAATGGGTCTCTCCAAAATAACTATCAATGGTATGAATATTAAAAAAAGAGACAGTTTTTTAATCAGCGAAATTATCATCCAGTTTTACAGAAGAAATTGTTGCTATCATATGAATAATCGAGATTTGTCGAAAATTTTGTTCAGTCAATAAATTTGTTTGCCATTAGTGGTGTTAAAGTAATCAGGATGAAAGGATAAAGTATTTTGTTTTGGTTTTAATCAATAGAACTAAAACTGTTGTTATAAATTTAGTAAATTAATTTTATTTCCGTATTTGATATTTATAAACATGAAGATCTGACACAAAGTTCTTAATGCACCACTAAAGCTGATTATAATCTGATGGTCATCTATGTTTTGAAAATGGAAAGCATTAACACTAGGTTCATTAAATTAAAAATTTAATGACTTCTTCATCATTTCTTGTATTCGTGTGCCTTCAGTTTGGCAATCTGTTTGTAGAAAATTTTCAAAGAGGAAATTATTTTTGCAATTTAAATCGTTTCATTCTTAGAATATATTTTTACTGTTCATTTTTCTTCGACTTTGAGCAAAATAATTCCGTTGATTCAATTGGGCATTGATCATTGAACATACTTAGTTATATAGGAAGACAAGTTTTTTCTTAGTAAAGGTCATGAGATAATTTACATAGGCTTCATTTAATCTAGTTTAGTAGCGCTATACATGACCATTTTCCTTATGCACTCCATGCTGGTTTGTAGAAAAAAAATCAGATAAAAATAAGCTTTTCATGCATGTTTGTGTTAACTACGGTGTGAAAAGTAAAAATTATGTTATATGACCGCTTTTTATTGAAGTCCTATAGAACAGTGTCGGTAAAGGCCTGTAAAGAGAACTTTTTTGTCACAATCTGAATAATTTAAATTCTTTTTTCTAGATTGGCATTGCCAGTCCAGTAACAAAGGGTATTGTGGGTATGGGTGAAAAGATCAGGAAACTCAAATTGACATCCACACCTTTCAAGATGCTGTTTATGCTTGCTTCTTCTTCTTTCCATTTTATTTTTGTTTTGCATTTGCAAAATATCGAAATAAATAAATATTCGAATTACTTTGCACAAATCTGCCATATTTTGACTTCATTTATCACCCATTAGTAACTGCAATGTTCATCGGACAGTTTTCTAAACGTGATCATGGGATGGCATCATGTGATAGTATTGTTTTTGAATATCAAAGAAGAAATATTCACCATGGATTTTCGTGCATATTTTACTGAATATTGTCTGTGATATTCTTGAATCGATTTTTTAACAGTTGTTCTGCTTTGTGCATTTAAAGAAGGAAAGAAAGTTGCATAAAGAAAAGTTCTTCTTTTCCCAGACATAGAAAACAGAATAGAAAAATAGTTGATTAATTGATTCAATCATGACACAAACGATGTGCAATAACATGTGAAAGAAAATACATAGTGGATACTACATCGCAAGATCCAAAACACAACGTTACCACATGATGTCCTTGGTGAACATTTTCCGGCTTAAATCAACGTCTAAATAACATTCTTGTCGACAGACGTTTGCGTCTGTTCACCGATTTCGTATACATAAATGTCGATGATGCAGATATTAACTAATATTATAGTTCTTTATTATTTCACAAAATATCTGAACAGTTATCATCTCTGAAAACAGCAGAAAGTGAGAAACAACTTCGTCAGTATCTTCAATTCTTAGTTGTCTCTTACATATGAGAAAAATACAATCGATCAGATCCCATCAATTTTAATCAAGTATGAAAGAGTTTCAAAGTATACGTAGACATCTTTCTGATGTTGAGATTCGCAAACTTGACAAAGAGTTGAGGGTGTGGGTTTGGATGTGGCTGCGGGATGTGGGTGTTTCCATTTTCTTCAACACCCACACCCCACACCTAGGATTAATATTAAGAATATAGATGTGTCAGTATGAGAGAAGAGGGAGACTTTACATCGACAACTGACATTTCACTCTTCTAATTTCAAGTATTAATTCGAAGTTATAAAGTGTAGTTATATAATTTTTTAATATTTTTCACGTATTTTTATTTCAAAAATTGAATATGTTAATCAATATAATTTGGAAAGAAAATACTTTCGAAGAGCAATAAATATAAAAGTTGGAAGATTAATAAAAGTTGTATTCAAAGTATGAAAATTGTCAAAATAAAATATGATATTTTAATAGATAAAATTATCCCAATATATTACTAAAATATCTTTGTTTCATGATTAGCTACAATATTTTGATAAAGTGAAACGAGTTCTTCTGTTGCTTTTTTCCATGAATATTGACAAGCATGCGCTCGACATAATTGTCGCAAGTTTTTATCATTTTTTTGAATATATTTGAGTGCATTGATAAATTCTTTGTTATTATTTATATCATATTCTAATTGAGGAAAATATGGTTTATATAACTTCTCAAAAACGGGACATTTTGGATAGATAATAGGTGTTCCACATGACAATGACTCGAGTAATGTAAAACCATATGTTTCATTTAAATTTGTACATATAAAGGCTTGTGCACTTTGATAATACTTATATAAATTCGTGTAATCAATTCGACCAATAAATTGAATATTTTTTATTTGTTTTTCTTTGATATATAATTTTAATACATCTTCAACTGAACCAAAACCAACAATATCCAAAGTATATTCATCTTGAACTAATGAAAATAAATCAATTGATCGAAATAAATTTTTTTCTGGTGCGGGTGTGAGTGTTCGTTTGGTTGTGTGAGTGTGGGTCAGGGGGGGGGGGGAAAGCAAATTTCCGTACTTCACAGTACTTCAACGCACTTCAACGATGTTTCAAACTTATCTTCGAAATATTCTTAGTTATTTTAAGTCTACTATAGATGCGTATCACAGGAGTGCCGCTTTAGCATCATTCAACATGAATCTACCCTAAATAAAAGCCGAAATACTTCACCGTACTTCAATTTGAAGTATAAGCGAAGTACGGTGAAGTATTTCGACTTTTGCTTAGGGTAGATTCATACTGAATGATGCAAAACCAGTACTCCTATGACACACACCTATGATAGACTTAAAATAGCTAAGAGTATTGAGAAGATAAGTTTAAAACGCCGTTGAAGTACGTTGAAGTAGCATGATGTACGGGAATTTCTCTTTTCCCCCTTGGCGTGGGTACTGTTATTTTCGACAAATATACCCACACCCACTCTCACACCCACTCCCACATCCACTCCCACACACCCACACCCACACCCACATCATCATACTCACCCACACCACCACACCCACACCCTTTATTAGAAAATAGAGGGTGTGGGTGTGAGTGTCGATATATATTCTCTTGTCACTTCCATTCATACCTACACCCACACCCACACACTTACACCGACACCCACACGCCCACACCCACCTACTCACACGCACACCCACACCCACCTACTCAGACGCACCCCCACACACTCACACTCAGACACTCACATCCACACCCACACATTTTCGTGGTAAAGTTTACGGCACTATAACTAGCGACACATACGTGTGATACATTTTATTTGAATTTGTATTTGAATGTGCAGAACATGTACTACCAATCATTAAACTATAGCAGGCGTTGGCATAGGCATTCGCATGATCTTACGTTTGAAGTCCCGAAATTCGATATCTTTTATCGTTGCTTCTTTCGATAGCTTCTGCCAATTCTCACTTGGATGGAGTATACTAACAGTTCTTGGAACAATCCAATCTTTGATACCGGTTCGGCCAATGATTTTCTGAAAAAAGTACTGTTTCCAACAACGATCACTGTAATGAACACCATAGGCAATATCTGATGATAATATGATGGACTTGTAAGGTTTCAATAATTGAGCTTCGTGTATTCGATGCATCGGTACAGCGAGTGAGGTGATAACTGCTGTTGATGGATTTTTATCCCAAGCATCCGGCAATCGTTTTCGATGAATATAAGTTTCTGTAATCGAAGTATTGGAACATTCGACAAGATTTTCATGAGACATTCTGAGTAACTTAAAACTAATCTGAGCAATATCTGAGCTTGCTTGATTTTGTATGACACTTCGAACTGAATTTGATGATCGTGGAAATATAAAAACGTCAAGATCAGAGAATAGAGTCCAAACACATCGATCTCTTGTCAATAACAGAGCATGTGTGTATGCTTGATGCTGGGATCGTCTCCATGGCCATCGAATAATTTCAAGATCAGCTCTATTCGCAAACAACATTCCGAGACCATCCGTTGAATTGTTATCGTAAATTATTAGATGATCGAAACCTACACGACGATGATATTCATACCATTCATCCACCAAATATGCCATATTTTTAACGGTTGTAACAAAGCATAGGAAATATCGTGGCTTTTTAATTGTTTGATGATTCTGTGGATTGTACCATGCAACTGAATTCACAATTTTTTCTCCGTTTATAATAGTTAATTTATCTCCGAATTCTAGCTCTTGAGGAAGATGGCAAAGAAAAGCTATATAATCATTGAAAATAGTCGATTTTTTCGCCTCTTTCATGCTTGTTCTCTGACGACCAAGTAGGCAGAACATATGTTCAGTTTGACCCACAACTCCTTGACCAAAAAGCCATATAAATCCAGACAGTTCAGGTGCACTAGTGTAAATCAGTTCAATCGTGTCATTCCACGGGAAATTCAAAGAAGCCTCATGGACTATTGGCATCTTTTCTGGTAATTCATGATCATGTGGACATTGAGTCATGACAGAATGGAGATGCGTATCAAAGCATATGAACCCGATAATTAGTCCAATAAATACTCCACAAAATACGGATCTTCTTATGTAAAAATTGTTCATTTTTTCAATATGGGGGCTTTCAAGTAGTATCGCTGTACCTTTTTTTTATAATTCAATTAAGTTGGAACAACAAGAAGACATTTGTATCCATCATTGTTTTCAAACTAATATGGTAGTATAAGATAGATCATCAGGACTAATTGTCACGGTAGTTGGTATTAACTCTCGAAGATATACAAGTAAATCTGTAATATCATGTATTCAAATAGAAACTTCGCTACCTTTTGAGACGAATTCCTGTACTAAATGATATAGGCCGTATACGGACAAAATCCAATATTCCCTCTTCTTTCTTTATATAAGCAATACACTGTAAAAACTAGGTGTGGTATAATAAACCCTCATATCTGTTTATTATCATTGGCATACACTTCTTTTAGATTTAATAGCATAATCTACTATTTCATAAATCTTCGCAATGGTTTGTCACCCCATTGCAAAATCACATATCTTTGTACTGTTTTCTGTATTCAATAACTCTTGTTCGGTGTATGAACGAAATAAAATCTTAGATGAAGAACTTATCATAACACGCTTTAAAACACAGTCATAGAATAATAAACCGTTCGTATAATGGTTTATTCCGTTCATATACCAAAAAGAGTTTATGAATATAGAAAACAGTACAAGGGTATACCGATATGCAAGAGTTACAAATTTTTGCCAAGATTTATAAACAGAAAGAGTTTACGAAAGGATAGATTACGGGTGAGTATGAGTGTGGGTGTTACTACGGGTGTTACTCTTCTTCAAATCACAGCCACACATTCTCCCCCTTAATATGAAAAGAAATTTGCCTAACTGTCTACACATCTCATTTTCAAGTTTAACTTTATATATATAAATGATTCACTAGTTTATATATTGTTTTTTCTCCTTTTTTCGTTATCTCTTTTCTTTTCTTTTGTCATATACTTTAATTTTGTACCAACTTTATCTGCACACTAAAATAAAATGTGCCGCACTTATGTGTTGTGACTTATAATATCGCAGACTCAATGATGAAAATGTGTTGTGCTTAGAATGTGTCGTATATAAATTTGTTTCATTCTGTCTGCTGACTATTCATCCACCGTTTTGTTTTGGGCATACAGCTATATATAGACAACGTGATTGGCATATAGAGAACTTATTTTCTCATGTTAGCCATTTTTTAAAATTATTTCTCGATATTTATATGTCGAGAACATACCGATCGTGATCGATGATCGAGAAAGGACTACCCTGAAGCGGTTTGATGCAAATCGAGTCAGCTCGAAGCCGGACGGATCTCAAGATCTGACCTGCTTGTATTTTCGGAATAGCAATAATTAAATGGAATTAACTCGAAAAACATGTTCTAATTTGTTTTTAGGAAAAAATTCAAAATGCGCTGTATAGTAGGTTCGAACTAGGTTTTCACAATGTGTCGCATGTGTCGTACTAAAATGTGTCGTGCCGTCGATGGGCAAAATGTGTCACAACGAGTTCCTCGTGTCGAACTTGAATGTGTTGTATATTGTGTCGCAAAATGCGACACATGCGACACATTTTATTTTACTGTGTGCCCGGCTTTTTTCTCTCTATACATTAATTTCTATTTCTATCAATATCAATGACAAGACCTTTTCTTGATAAAATATCGCGAACCGTACATATAGAACAAGAAGATAGCAGAGACTAACCGAGCAAATAAAGCGTTGCACTATAAAATTTTGCTCTTTCAATAAATTTAATCCTTTGTGTTGTTGTATGACTTCGGTTAAACTTTTTTGTAACATCTTTCTAATATATTAACCCTGTGAACTGGGAACAATGCACTGAGTGCAAAAAGGACATCTTTTCATGACGTAAATTTATTTATAAAACCACGGATTTATCACTTATGGAATCCCTATCGGACTAGAAGGTATGCGAGAAAACAACAAAATGTAATTCTTAGCCAATCTAATCATGCACTTATACTCGGTGCTACATATAATTAGTGTGCTATATGCAGTAATCAATGTAATTGTGTGATTACACTAAATAAGTTGCTCAATTATTTCATTTTTGTTTTAATAACCAGACTCTAAGTTGAAATGTGTCGCATGTGTCGTGGTTTGCGACACATTTTCCATTGGTTCTTTCGGAAAAGCATATTTCGATTTTTTCAATTTTATTCCATTTAATTATTCCTATTCTGAAAACTCAGGCAGGTCAGATCCTGGAATCTGTCCGATCTCGAGTTGGTCTGATTTGCATCAAACCGCTTCAGGATAGTCGTCTCTCGATCACGGATCGAGATTGACATTTTCTCGATTAAAAAATGATCGAGAAATAATCTAGACAAAAAGAATGTTTTGAAAATTTATCGTTCGTACGTTCAATCACGTTGTTTATCTATCCCTATGTGTGCATAATAAAAGGGTGAACGAATAGTCAGCAGATAGAACACGACAAATTCGTATATGACACATTCTAAGCACGTCACATTTTGTGAAACACGATCTGAAAGGAGTGTTGAAGTGTTTAGGGGAAGAAATTTGGACCCCCATCTCTCCCCTACAGATCGTGACAGACACTCGCATGACCCATCACAGACCGTAACAGACAGGGTCTGGACCCATCATAGACCGTGACAGACAGGCTCTGGACCCATCACAGATCGTGAAAGACAGAATCTGGACCCATCACAGACCGTGACAGACAGGCTTTGGACCCATCATAGACCGTGATAGACAGGCTCTGGACCCATCACAGATCGTGAAAGACAGAATCTGGACCCATCACAGACCGTGACAGACAAGCTTTGGACCCATCACAGACCGTGACAGAAAAACTGTAGTTCTAAAGCATCAGATAAACGGTTAGCTACAAATGTATTGCAAAGAAATGGAACAAAACGATTTCCATTTAATTAGTAACAACAGATCCATCGTGTTTCACATTTTTAATCCCGCAATGGATTGCGCTAACAGCTTTTTTGTACTGGAGTGCACGACACAATAATTCACGACAGATAAACACGACGCATTGAAATATAGTGTGCAACGATACAGAATAAAGGAATAATTTCTTTTGACTATTTCAAATTGCGCTATTTTAATTTATTGGGGACGAGAATGTACACTTCCTACATCTCTCTTCTACTTTCAGGGGTCCTGTCACACACTCACAGCCACATCGAACTACATCTTCACCCAAACTCACACTTGCATCCCACCCAAACACACAACCTTCATCAACACTCTCAAACACAACCGCAATCTTTCTTTTTGTTCATATTACACATCCACACTCGTGTTTGTATCTACTTGCTTATATGTCACATATATGCTCAGACTATTGCAGAATGACCCACTGAGTTAATGTCGTTGTTTAGAAGAAGGGTGATTTCATTTGAGAATATTTGATAAGAGTTGTCTCTATTTCTTTCGTATAGCACGTACGGGCACCATTATGTACTACGTCGAGTATCAAATCGAAGAAATCACAATCATAAGTGCAATTGTAAAAAAACGAAAGACTTTATTTGATAAATTAATTAGTTCGACCATAGCATGTTTTACTGGAATCTTTTCCCAGCGGCAGAACTGATTCTTGTTTCTCTGTTTAAATTAGCTTATGTGTGTGTATTCACTCTCTTCTTGGAAAGTCTGATCTCCGGTACGTTGGTCTTCATTGTCTGAATCGGTATTTGAACCATTGGATAATCTGTCAAGTGCCAAAGATGCACTTCGGCTCGTTTGATTACATCGAATTGAATATCACTTCGATTATTATTGATTAAGGATGGATGCGAAATATCTGGAATCACTAGAAAAGGAGGAAATGCTACTCGAACAGAGAGATTCTTTTGTTGCAAGTGGCGATAAACATGATCAAACGGTTTCGGTGTACCAGCTTGTAACCATTGAAGAATAGGACGATAGGATACTCTTTTAAGTAAGAGAGCAAACGCACCAAATGTTGCACTGCTAGCATCGAAGCACGCTCCGCTGGGCCAATCTGTATGCTTTTTATGCCATATAGTAGCTCCTAATAATAGAACGTCGGCTTCGAGACAACGATGAGGCAATTCTCTGAACAATGTTGTAAAATTACGATGTGGGATCGCATCATCTTCAAATACGAATACTTTTTCGTGATTTTCATGAACCATCATGCTGTAGAACATTGTCATTGTCGCTCGTAGACTCTGTTCTCCGAGTGTCAAAGACTTGTTTTTTACATGAAGTTGATGAGAAAATCGAATGCCATCGAAACGTCGAAGATCCATATGAGTGTATTTCTTAAAAGTACCCACAACACTTGCTACTCTTTGATCATAACCGGGAACTGTAATAATATATGCTATGGGTGTTGGATCATGATTTTTCAGCGCTTGTAGTATCGATGAAGTCTTGCAGACATAATAATTTGAAAATATGGTAGTAACGACAATTATTCCGCAGATTACAGAATTGTACACGTATTTTAACTTTAATCGCCACATTCAAATGGACTTTTCTAAAGTTGCATTTGGCTCATAAAAA